TGATGGAAAAGTTTAGATTATGCGGCGGAATTGCGAGGTGGATTTTTAACCCTAATATGAAACTGAAAGATATTGCAAAGATTATTAGGAGTGCAGTTACATCAATTGATTCAAGAATACTCTCTTATCAAGGCCAAATTGTGGAAGGCGATGAGCTTACTCATAAATTAATACATGTTCACACAAATCTCCCATCTGATAATGAGAGCGATCCATACACTGAAACTTTCTGCTATTTTGCTTCAGAACGTGTTGCAAATCTTTGTTTGGAAAAATTAAAAAAAGATGATAATGAAAAATTGCGCAAATTTATGAACAATGCACAAGAAATATCGGAAATGGGAAGCCTCCGTGGACAATTATTTGAAATGATTTGTCACGTAATTCTTCGTAGTGGTAAAGGCTTCATGGTACGTAACCTTCTAGATGGGAGTGAAGAAATTAGGAACTTTGGAGTCCTAAAAGAAGAGTTTTATGATAAGATTACAGAGATTAATCTAAGCGGAAATTCTTATTATCGTCCATATAGTAAGACTAGTAAAAGCGTGGATAGTTACATCCATTTAAATATATTATTTCAAATAACGGTTGCCAAGAGACACGGGATCAAACAAAAAGGATTAAAAAATTTGGAGAATATCTTGAATAAATCGAACGAAATTTATTTATATTTCGCAGTTCCGAAAGATATTTTTGAATCATTCACGAAACAAAATTACTTGGATGGAGATAAGAAAGCGGTAGATGTTGAAAATTGGATTAATGAAATTAAGCAATATAGTTTACGCGTTGATCTTGATCAGTTTTTAATTTCTGATTACCATATATAATGATAATGTAAATAGTGATACTTTACTTTTTTTTTTAAGTTTGAATATTTACAAATAATAAAGCTTTTTGTTGGAGGAATCGCTTGAATTTCAAAATTTTAAATGTATAATTATATGAATGCCGAAATAAATTTCCGGGCTAGATAAAAAAAATTCACATCACAGTGTCATAAAACTTACTGCGCCTATTATACGTGTGATGGTTCAGAGATTTTCTCGACGATCAATCATATATAAGATTAATACGCGAGAACAACGTGATTACATGTTTCAAGTAACTTGCCGAACAATAAACCAACCTACCTTATTATTGCTTTGTGGAATATATTAGTTCGTTTGATTGCAAATATCGATGATGCAAATAATGGTAGGTTTGAAGTTTTATTAGAATTTTCGTTTTATTTTTCGCTTGATTCTTGCTTATATTTGCACAAGGCTGATAAAAAGATTCATTAATTAGACTTCCTTTTTATATAATTCGCTTTTGGAAATCACAAAAATCTGATCAGCGGATTCGCTTAAAATTATAATAAAAAACTTTGATGCTACCCATATACAAGGATCAACAAGGAGGTCTTCTTTGTTGTAAAGCTTGGAATATATGCGGAATAAATTACATGCGATTACTTTTCCCAGGATACATGATGTCTAACGTTACTGCACATTTATTCAGATTGCATATTCGATTACAACTTTCATATTTATCTTATCCAGGTGGGACTTTAGGTCTCACTTTTTCATTCACCATCCCACAATGTATAGCCTTTTCGACCGAATTCTTTATTGATGTAGTAAATAAATTAGGTTCATAACCTAAAATTTCGTCAGCATGGATGACACGTTTGATAACACTCCAAATAAAAATCACGTGCGCGTGAACAATGTTCACACCGATCACTTTGAAAAATTTTAATACACGCGAAAAAAATAAATACAAAAGTTCGGGATGTAGCCCGTGATACATGATAGTTCCGTTCGCTAAAGCAAACCATTAGCTATGCTAACCTCTAATTCGATTTGGTACTAGAGGTACCCATTCCTGCAAGATTGCCTGCCAACCTTACCCTTTGATTTATCTCTCTAGATTTGTCTACGTCAAGAACTGAATCCAGCTTCTGCGCATCCTCAAATAAACATACAATATGTTTGAGGACCTTTTCCACCTTAGCTTGCAAATCTTCATCTTTGTACACAACAGTCACTGGTTCTGATAGCTTAAACGATAACTTCCCCTCGTTATATGAACATTCTAAAAAATAACACTTTTCTGCATCTGTGACAATTCCAAAAGTTTTTCCTGTAAATGTATCTCCTTCTTCCATCTCACTAGCTTTACGCTTACGGTTTGATAAGCCGATTTAAGTTAAACAGCATTCTGAGAAATGCCCTTAAAAAAATTCTCGTTCTTTACTTCTGTGCTAACAGTTTTTGCAAATCTATCGCGAAATCAACTGGACCGTGTCCATTAGATCCTGCGATATTTTTTCTGATCAAAGCTCAAACTTACCCTCGTATAGATTTATCCTGGCAATAAGGTACGAACAAACATAGTGTGATTTTGATGCTTCATTTCCACTGATTGGAATGGCCTTGAGATGGATATTCAGCTCAGCTATAAGGTGTTTAAGTATTTACCGGGGAGAATCGTCTTTCAGATCTTTGCGCTCACAGGTGAACAATGATAGGTCATCTGATTTTCCAAGTTCATAAAGCTGACACATTTTGGGAAATGACTAATCTGAGAAAGCTTTTGAGGGGTCTTTATGGTTACAGTAAACTTGGAAATGCCCTTCGATATGAATATGCGGAGGATTTCACAGAGGTCTTGATCGTTTAGAGGTGAATATTTGTTTCCATCATCTTGATCAAGATCAAGGTCCCGCCCCATCATTTTCAGTGCAGGTAATTGATATATCTTATGTATCTATTTTTTGAGGCCTTTAAGAGATGCATGTTCGATATTTGTAGGCCACTTATTTAGTTTCCGTTTCAGATGAATGATGGCATCGAAGTCTATAATATGAAGATGATTAGAAAAAATATTACAAAACCTCCTGACCTTTCCATTATTTTATACGTATCATGTATTGACTTATTAAGCATTTCCATAATGAAGCAACTTCTTTAAGTTCCTATTCACAATTCATCATTGTCTTGAAGTAAGAGATTGCTTAAGGGATTCAGGAATTTCTACATTCCATCAGTATTGGCAAATAAACATAGGTCATATGATTATAATATCACGTTTCCAGTAAAATCAAGTCATGAGGCATAGTAAATCATATGATCTGTAATGTGATTTTACTGGAAACGCTTCCATATGATACTATGTCATATTGTCATAAAGTCATAAAAATCACGTAATTTATCTAATTTTAGCCGGTATTATAAAGCATCAATTCATCTTGATTGGGTTATATAATGTTACATAAAGGTAATAAATTTGTGTGATATGTTTTAAATCTAAAAATAACATTTGTATAACTTGAATTACCTTTTATAAAAATTATATTTTATAATGCTAGCCTGAATTAAGTTATATAATAAATCATAAGTCATAGATCCTTCAAAATGATAAATGATTTATGACAAAGTCATATAAGTCATATAGGTCATATGATATTATATATCGACATTACCTTCTCCGTTTATCAGCCTCTACATCATGAAAAGTTTCACCTTAATAGTTTTTTTAAAGTGAACAACAAGTTGGTTTTTATTAATATTGACAAGAAAAGCATTCGCAGTTAACAAGATAGAATAAAATGATAAGTATAGTGACTTTAATAGTATTTTTTATGAAATTTTATTGATGTAAACTAACATATGTAAGAATAAGAGTAAAAAGAATTTTATTTGTGAAAAAATACCAAAGTCTACTATATGTGAAAAATTATTCTATCACACAGACTGCTGTGTGATTCATTTATTTTTGTAACATATAACTTCTTTTTGATTATTGTATATATAAAAATTAATATGTCATACAGACCTGTTATATGATTCATTTATTTTATCATATAAGTTGTATTTCTTAGCAATTTCTTCTGAACTAGTAATCACACTTCTAAGCTAGTTAGATCAGTAAAATACTACTCGTTTATAATGCTGTGTTAATTTCTGACTAAAAAATGCAGAAATAAAATTATTATTATTAATATCACTAAGAAAATCACTAAATGTGATAATAAAATTGTTCAGGGTATTAGCTGTACTCATAATCATTAAAAGAGACACATTATTACTATAGGTGTCTTTCTTATTCTTAGTTTTATCCTCAAAGCTAAACTATTAAGATTCTATTTCTGTATATTATAATACTTATTTAGATCAAGATTTCTCATAATCTTATAATATTTGAATAACTTAGTTATTATAATCTCTTCATTTGAATTAATTGCAGTAAAATTAAGGAATAACAATTCATAAAATATATATAATAAAGGAAAAGTATATTTATATTATTTCTTACATAATAAAGTTTTTTCACTTTATTATTTTCTTAATATATTGTATTCATTTATCAATCCTGTATTTTAATCCATTTAGTCATATCTTTTCTAAAATCAAATCATATTCAGGCTTGTTCATAATTACAAATTTTACTGTATTTATTTTCATATATGAAAAAAATATTATCTTATTAAAGATATTTGGCAAAGCGACTGAAACTTTTTCTCTATTAATTCATCTCCTTCTTATTACTTTCTTGCTAGTATTTATTGCATCAATCCTAAGGTCTTTTACTGCAGAATATCTTGACTCATATTCTATAGAAATATATAAATCCATTTTTTTTAGCAAATGTCTTACTATTATAGTAAGATTTAGGATTAATTAATATCTTAATGGATTTTTTATCAGTTATATTACTTTTTATAAATATAAAATCCACTATTAATCTTTTGCAAATTTTCAAATTATTTATCTTTCTATATATCATTTTACTGTAACATTTTTAAGATTTTGAATCAGAAGATACTTTAGAATAAATGATATTAGTTTTATTAGAAGCTAATCAAATAAATAAGCTGTATATGTTATGCTTCAGATGTTGATTTGCCTTAAATGTCAACTAGCCTAAATTACTGGCCTATTTTTATAATATTTGGATAGTATTACTAATGATCATCTTTATCATTACTATTAAAGATTGACACTATAATTAAAAAAAATAGCGTAATTGAGTTGCAACTTGTGACACAATTAAATTTTCTTATGACGCTATTAAGTTGCAACTCAATTGAAATTTGAAAATAATTATGGGGATTATCTTTAATTACTATATTTAGTATTCCATCGACATTTGAGGCAAATTGACACTTGAGATATAACATATATATAGTTAGAGGATTTTTAATCAGAAAAAAAATATCATTACTCTGAATTTGATAATCATTATTCTAGATAGTTAAGTTTGAAAGAAGGCTTAAGTAAATATTCAAATATTTCAGATAAAGGTTTTTAACCCTAAATTTATACACATGTTTTTTATTGTCAGGTGATAATTCAGAAATAAATTTTACTTTTATATTTATATTATTAGATTGATCTTTAATCCTAATCTATTTGCAACATATTTTGTAATAACTAGTAAATTTGTATCTTTATCAATATTATAAATACCAAATGCACTAATACAATTTTTTCTATATATTTTAATATAACCAATTTCTATTTCTCTTTTCTTTTTCAGCTGATTAATTATTTTTGCTAATTTATCTAGAGTAAGTTCTTCAAATATAAACATTTTATTATTCTGATTTTTGATATTAATTCTTTAAGAAAATCATATCTAAGATACTCTTCACTGAATTTAATAACCTTATTATATTTCTTTAGTTTTGAATAGTAATTTATTACTGAGTTATGAACCAATTTTTTATATCAGAATTTTTGTATATCAGAATAATCGATTTGCACAGTATTGCTCAAAGTTTGTATTATATATATATTAATATATCTGATTTATTTTAATGAAGAAAAAAAATAATCAATTTGTTGATCACTGCTCTAAACTGAATCAGATTTTCAAATAATTGCTCAGTTTAGTGTAATTGAACACGCTATTATTAGGAATAATTTTCTCTTCATACATATTCTGCTAAGTTACTTTACTATAACAAGTAAATTTCTTATTATTAGACTTTACAATCTTAGGAAATCTCACATCTTATAGGAATCTGGAATGCCTTAGAATTATTCCACTTAACTTTACAAACTTAAAGGTTTAGGGATTTAGAAGAAACTTAGAGAATTTATTTATTTTAAGTAATAAACTCAAAAGTAAGTTAGTATAGTAGTTTACGATTAAATTCTAAATGATGAATATGTAGAAGAAAAAATAATTAAGTTTTAAAGTTGATTTCTTTATTTATTTCTTGAAACTTGTAAGTGTTATAAAACTTACAAAGAGTTAATTTATAACTTAAGTAAAAGCTATTCTATTTATACAAAATTAATTTGCTATAGCTAACTAATTGCTAAGCTATAAACTAACTAAATTTGTAATTATAAGTGTTAATATATGAGATATAATAAATATATTAAAGATAATATAGTAACTAAGAAGTTGCAACCAAGTTGCAACTCCTTGTAAATTTATTTTAATATAAAATTTCATAAATAGTTGTAACTCAAAGTGTTGCAACTTAAGTTGCAACTAGTTAAAAATTTTAAAAATAATTATGGGAATTATCTTTAGAATATATAAAGTATAGTAAATATAATTAAGATAATAGTTATAACAAATATTATAATAATAATAAAAATAATGGAAATATTTGAAATAAGTGAAATCAGAAATATTAGACTTATAAAAAATATAAGGAATATACTAAAAATCAGATAAATCAGAAATTATGCAGATCTTCTAATTTGTGATTAACATAAAATTAATTCCAATAACTTCTGTAGATTAATTTTTCAATGATGAATTTTTAGCTGATGATAATGCCTATAATCTTGATCTATTTTTTATTTCTAATAGTGACTAAGTCAGTTTCCTGATAATATATATATTCATAGCTGGCTGGATTATATAATGACATGTATTGTGTAGGATTAGTAGTGAACTTACTTATAATCTTGCATTGGTTATTTCTTAACTTAATTATTACTAGCTAGTTTAACTAATTCAATAATCTAATAAATACTAGTAGGGCAAAAATGGGGTTTCTGGGATAAAAATCCAAAAAATATTCAGAAAGGTTCCTGTCTGCTCATAAATCAATTTTAGCTATATAAATCAAATTATTGAATTCAAGCTTCTAGCGTAATTTAACTCAAATATAGATGATGATATCAAACTTGGCTAGAAATTAGCCTTCAGATACCAAGAATTACACTGTTTTATATAGCCATTCTAGCCTGATTTTAATCCTAAATAATATATCAAAAAAATTTTACTATTCTGTTTGCCTCAGAAGGGGCCATCAAAAATCAAGGAACAAAGTGACGTGATTTGAGCTGAGCCTGATATTGCAAACCCAATTTGAATAATAACTTTTATGCTATTCTGCTTGCCTCTAGAGAGGCCATTGAAAATTAAGGAACAAAGTGAAGTGATTTAAGCTGAACCTGATCATACAAGCCTAAAATGCATACCATATGCTAAGTCTAACCTCTTCGAGGTTGATTTAACAGTTATCTAATTTGCAAATCAAAAGCTTAATGATTATGTTCTAGCATATTATCAATTTATCAACATATAGGAAACTAT